GGCATAGTTACGGGGATATTTTCTTTCTCTCTCCTTTTAGCACATTTCCTTCCTTTTCCTTATGCTCTGCTGGGAATTCAGTATGAGGCTCTAAGCTAAAATAATTTGAAGGACTCAGTAGGATAGCATGCCCAGAAGCCATGACCCCCTACACCAGACCTGCTGCGCAGCTTGGGGGAGCGCTCTCAGTGCTGGTGGTCGTTGCATCCTTGGAGTACGTTGCTGTTGGGTGTTCAGCACCACCTTCTGATGTGTTTGCCCCTGTATACAATGGGTTTGCCCCTGTATGAAGACTGCCGCAGTATCATGTTTTGGAAGAATGTCTCTCAGGTATACTTCCCAGAAATGCTCTGATAGATTTTGTATGGGGAGCTCTTTGGCCCCAGTACATCATTAATTATTACATCCTGGAAAAATTTCTGGGACAGATAAAACAGCGTTGTCCATAAATATGTGTGTTGTCTGAAGTATGCTGATTATTCTGTTCATTTATGGTTCTGATTGTATACAAAGTGTCCACCCGTGAGTATTGCGAACAAGTTTATTTTATTGCAGCTGATTACACAACACGGGAAGAAAAAGGGTAGGCTGATGTTGCCCCTGCATAAATTCTTTATTTTAAAAGAAATTCTCCCTTAGGACTAGTTTTCAAACTCTGAATAGCTTTAACAGACTCATAGTTGAAAGAAGACGGCAATGGGCTTATAAACAGACTTATTTTTAAGAATTATACAATTACCGGCAATGTAGGCTAATTTCTCCCATAGTGCGAGTAGGGATCCACACATCATCTCGCTTAGGTTGACACAAGGCTGTCAGATGTAAATGTTACAAAGGAATTCTTAATCCTCTGCTGGACTATAAAGTGATATTTTCCACAAATATTTTCCTGCTATCCAGACCCAGAGCATGTTGCTGAACTGCGTGCTAATAAACACAAGGCAGAGGTATATTTATTGTCAGATGAGTTTTCTTGCAGGCAAACACCTTAAAAAGCCCCCAGGTCATAACTTGACCAGTCGTGTAGAAAAACAATCATCAAACAAAGGAAATTTCTGGAAGTATAATGAAGGGAGGCATGCAAAGGAGTCCTGTTTGCATGCTTTACCTGATTTTGACTTGTCGAATGAGCATAATCATTCAGGTTTTTTACATTGACTAGGCATGCTCTGCAAAGTGTAACACTAACTAAATGACAGTTTGTCAATATCCATAGGAAAGTAAAAATATGTATTGGTTTGTATGCTAGAATTCTCCCTGCTCCCACGAATGTCATTGAGAAGCTCATGAATGTCTTTGAATACCATCTGTGGGAAATTTACCTTCTACGTGAGACTGAAAAGGTAGACATCATCAAAATTATTTATCACTGAAAGAAAAGCAGCCATAATTTTAGAGGTGAAGCAGGCAAAAACAGTGAACATATATCTTTCCGTTGTCCTCCATCTTGTGAAGTGTTTACAGACAGATAAAAAATGGTACATAGAATGGTATAGATTTGATTTGGTAGAACTTTACATTTACTTTTTTCAGGGGAAAATCATTGCAATGCATAGCAAGGCAATGGAGAGCCACCTGCACTGGTGATTCACTGGAACTCACTGGTATTTCCTTTCATGTAAAATCCCAGTCAGCTGTAGGTTACCTAGGCCGTCCCTGATAAGATGGGGTTAAATGTCTGTGCCTACAACTGCAGAAATCTCTTTGTTTGGATAATTCCTGACTTAAGCAGAATTTTCTTATTACTTAATTCAGTGATTCAAACCCAACTCAGATGAAATAGCAGAGAGCACCCAACGTGCACAGCATGAGCCGGGAAGAAAAGCTGCTTCATGTCAGGAAGGTTGGTCACTCATTTCAACACTGGACGCAGGAACAGCCCCTTCTGATGTTTGTGATAGTGTTCAGTGGATCTCGATTGAAGACAACAAAGTCTGTTGGCTAAACTCTCTGATTTTCCAAAGCTCTCATCATTTGTACTCAGAGTTATTCTGATGTCTTTTCCTTGGCTCTTTTGCTACTTTCGAGCAAGTCTGCAAGAACTGAAAGAGTATGGGAAGTGGGACCAAAAAGATGTATCCCGACACCATATCTTATTTACTAGGAGAAACTCCAGAGGATTGTTTATATTGTATATTCATTTATGTACCTCCACAGTATTAAAGAGACCCGTGACTGCTGATGAGCTCTTGATGCCTGGAGCCCCATATGTAAGAAAAACTTTTACGGTATGTCTCCAGTATTTTTCTTTATTTTCTGCACGTATGCATAAGGTAATCTAAACAGGCATTTTCTGATGTGTTAATTGGAGCTTTTTTGCATTTGTTAAGGTTTGCACTTTAAAATCCCCAACTCTGTTATCAGTACTTCCACACATTTCAGGTCTGATGCTGCATTTGTTTGTCCTGTCTTTATGCCAATGTAGTACTGCTGACTTCAATGGAGTGCAAAATTACATCAAGCCAGTAACATTTGTATTATACAAACATCTAGACTTTGTGCTGCTGCTAATACTGCTCTGCAGGAGTGGATTATCTACGCAGACTGAAGTTTTCTACTTAGGTCTTTCTAGACTGATGGGACAGAAATTTTATTCATATTCACTATTAGAGAAAGCCTTTCTGTTAAGACATTTTTGAACCTAGTCATTGGAAGCATTGCTTTTTACAGCCTCCTAGTTTTTTTTTCCTACAAAAAAAAAGTTCATTAAAAGCAAGAGGAATCATTTAGATAGAGCCTTTCCCGTGAGGGATATAGCAGCCTGTACACAATGTCCTTTACTATGTGTGGGAAGCATAGAGATGTTGAAATTATGTCTTGAACCATTTAGTTGTTACCCCTTTGAATTTCATGGAGGTGCTTGAAGGTGATAACGTCCTTCTTTTCTCTTTGCAGATTGTCGGCGACGCAGTGGGCTGGGGCTTTGTGGTGCGGGGGAGCAAGCCCTGCCATATCCAGGCCGTGGACCCCAGCGGGCCGGCAGCCGCAGCTGGGATGAAGGTGGGTTTTCAAAATGGGGTGACTTAGAGGGGGTGTTTGTGCTGCTCAGTGAAGGTCTTGGGCTGCCTGTACTTGGGGAGGGAGAGGTGCTTTTGTTTCCAGGTTTGAGGATGGTTGTCTCAGTTTCAGGCGTTTGTGCACAGTGAGTTCTGCTGCCTTTCACCCTCCTCCTGTTTCTTTTCTTCTGTCCTTGAGATTCTTCAAGTCTCTTTTTTGCATGAAACTCATTTATCCTTTCCAAGTTGCTTTCTTGATCTTTTCCCTTTTTTTGGATTTTTTTTGGTTGGTTGGTTGGCTAATTTTGAAGGGGGTGGGGTGGGGGTTTCTCTGGGTTTTTTTGGTTATTTTTACCATTTTCCAACTCTGCACAATTTTAGCTTCCTCATTACTTTGCAATTTATGTGGTTGCTGGTATGCAGCTTCTTGACTTTGCCTATATAGGAGGAGGCAAAGTCAGACATACCTATTGACAGTGAACCTAGTGTAACCCGTTCTTCTCTGGAAAGCAGTTAAAATTCAAGACATTTTAGTAAGGGGAATGTATGAAGCTTTCATATTTCGTAAAGAATTGCAATACTTTCCTACATGATTTAAGAATAAATAAAGACAAATTACGTGTGAAGACTTCTGTACTGCTAATGGAGAGCCTGTTGACTTACCTGCTGGTTTGGACCATGTCCTGCATATAACTGTGAAATTATCACGCCGTTGTACAGTGGGAAAAATAAAAGCAAAGCATTACGCCAAGTACAGGTAAAAGCAAGAAGGAGGAACTAACTGCTACACCTACTCCAGTGTCCAGGCTGGGCCAGATACAAAGATTAAATGAGCAGTTTATGTCATGTTTTATTGTATCATAACAATTGCAGGTGAAGGTTTCAGATGTATTTCTCAAGCAGCCCAGTTTGCCATGAATTTTGTCCTGCCTTCTAATTTGTCTTCCTTTCCCATCACACTCACCCCAACTGCCTCTTGCCTGTACATTCACACCCACCAAGCTGGAGGCAGTGCGTGCTGCCACCACACCAGGGATGCACATCCTGCCCATCGCACGATGCCAGACCTGCCCCAGGACCCTCCTTAGCAAATGCACTGCAGGGGTTTCCCCGCTCCGTCTGCTGGGTTTTTCTAAAATGAGACTTGCAAGAAAGAACTTACTGTCTTTGAAACATTTACTTTTTTTAAGTACGGGCAGGCAAAACCCCTGGGAATGGCAGCTGCAGAGCCTGTTGGTACATGCAGCACCCTGACACATCCGGCTGGCAAAGGGCTTGATTCCCGAGAGGGCTGGAATTTTTTGTATGTTTTGTACAATACGTAAATATAATCTGTAGTTACAATTTTTATATGAAGAGTATCGTTTTCAAGTAATAATCCTGCCTAAAATTTAAAGGACTGAAATTTAGAAATAATGAATTTATTCATGTATATATTCTAGATCCTGAACTTGGGAGTTTAGTACTTTACAGCACCTTTTACACTCTGAATATAGCAGCTAGCAATAAAATAGATCTATTCTGAAACCTGACTTATAAAAATAACACTGTGGTGTCCTATGCATAATCTTAGAGATTTCACTTCTGCACTCAGCAGCTTCTTTCGGTTTCAAGCTGTCAGCCCTGTGACTACACACTAGAATGTTTTAGTTAAGCTGGTTTCTTTCATATTTCACCTCTGAAACTGGTTTTATGAACCAGATTATGTCCTTGTATCTTCCATATGTGCTCTCCATGCACTCATGTACTCTGATGGGGTTGCTGAGATTTACCTGAACGATTCAAGACATAAGAATATAAAATAGTCTGCTGTCCTGAGGGAAGCAAACAGTATTTTAGGCAGTAAATCTGGGATATATTGCCTTGAATTCGCACAAAGGATAGATCTGATTATTTGCAAAGGTGCTATCTCTATATAAAATTGCTTTTCAGAGCAAAATTGCACATAAAACATTATGGCCATATGTTAGATGTGTCCCTGTTTAGACACCAACATCGGCACCCCATTTTCAGAAAAGCTGAATACCTTTAGCCCCTGGTGAAGAAATGCCAATTTTCTTTGAAAATAAGGGGTTTTGTTGAGGTGTTCCCATGACAATAGATATGTAAATTATAGTGCAGTATTTGAAATTTTTAAAAATCTATGTCACTTCATCCATCCATTTACAGAACTTTTCAATCTGGTAAATTTAAAGGAACTGTATGACAGGCTTTAGACGACAGCTCCTTGAAAACAAACCTTCCCCTGCATGGAAGGTGCAGAAGGGGCACTTTGAAAATAGCCTATTGGGCCTGGTGGCTTCTGGTGTGCTGGTGCAAGAGGCTTTTGTCTGCCAGTGTTGCTCTGAGCACTACACCAAAGACACGCTAACAAGGAAAATTGGCTATGATGAAAAGGGCAAGAATTTGAAGAAGAGCCAAGACTTGGCGTTGCAGTTTGTAGAAAAGTTCTTGGCAGTAGCAGCAGGGTTTTTCCTCCTAAGGAGATGTATCCAGTGTAATCTTTTTGGAAGTGTCTTTATTTGTAAAGCTTGTGATTTTGCACTTGCCTCTCTTGGAGAACACTATATTCCTGTCTTTGTGTTTTTCTGGACAAATTGTTGAGAGAGGACAGCTGCCTGCAGTCTCATTGTGGGATCTCAGTTTGTGCACTTAAAACTCTGCCCTGTGTTACATAAAGTAGTAAACGTTACAGGCTCAACCTACCTGAAAGACTTTGTGGTGGCTTGCTTTCAGTTTGGCCTTGGCTGGGCTCCTGGCCTGCTCCAAAGCTCTGTGAATTGGGAGTCTGAGTAGAAATCTCAATGAGCTTGGGACGGAGCTCTGGCCACACACAGCGGCTGCGTGGTGGGCACGGCTCTGGGCAGCTGGGATGCACGGGTCTCCGTCACACACGTGGCAGCACTTGCCGTGTCCCTGTACATGACATCCTCTTCTAGGGGAACTTCAGACAATCTAATTCTGAGAAAATCCCTATTAGCATGGTCTACTGAAGAGGTGTTAGAGGGTGTTACGTTTTTTGGCTTTAACTCTTGTTGCCTCTTCTGGGCCTGGTGAATAAGATTACCATTTACCGTCTGAGGTTTCAAGTATGAAGCTGAGCAAATAATTTAATAAATATTTTGTCAATTAACTTTATTAAAGTATTTTTAGACCTGGGTTTGTTGAAGTGCGGTTGCCTGTGATAGCGCTGTGAAGAGTGTAGTTGCTGTAAGCGCATTAACAAGTGGGAGCTGGAGGCAATGCGGGGCTATGAAAGGAGTCAGTGTTGCGCTGTGTGCTTCTAAGTTATTTGCATCTCTGTTTTGCTGTCTGCTGTCGTCAGCAGTGGAAGAGCAGCAGGATTTTGAAGTTCCCAGGTTGCTTTAATATTCAGTATTGACTGGCTGCAAAATTTGGGTCTCTGTGGATGACACTGCTAAATATTGCCGGTTGTTGTCAGGAAAACTCTTTTTCCTCTTTATTCTGTAAGTTAATTTCTGCTTTTAAGATGCAAGTATTCTTTGAAAAGTTACACAACTTGACTTCAAACAAGTAACTAAATTATGCATCACATGTTGTTATTTAGTGTGACATCACTGCAACAGACTGTGACAAAATGAGCAGACCTAGCTTAGTGTGAGGCTTGTGAGAGAGACAAAATAATCACTCATTTTGCTGATCATCTGTTCTTTCCTTTGGCTGGAGATATCAGTGCCCAGCTCTAACCTTTGAGGAATGCTAAAGAATATCTGATTCCTTAAACTGGTTTTGAATAAATTAGCATTTATAACTGTTACACCTGAGGTCCTTGTATCATACAAATTCCCAACAGCCACTCAAGCTTTTATGTCCTGTTCGTCTTCATTTCAGTTAGTAGCAGGGAGTTTGGGGGACGATGTATGGTCACTGGTACCAGCCCCTTCTGTTTTGAGCTCTGCTTGGGGGTTACAGTATACAGCCAGGACCATTCCAGCATGGTTGTGCTCTCCTGATCTTTAAAAGCTGGCGCAGGGAGGAGGTCAGCCTCATGAATTTTCTGCCTGTGCCATCGTCTTCTGCACTCACAAATGGTTATTTCAGGTCTGTGTTCTCAAATGATTTCACTAGCAGAATAAGAGCCAAATCTCAAGTGTAATTGAATAGCCACTGTCTGATGGAGCGTATTGTTGTCAGGTTCATCGAGGTCATTAAGCCCGGTCTCCCTGCAATCAAAGGAACATAGGTACTATCTGATTAGTCCAAAGAGTCCAAATACTGCCACAATCACAAAATATTACAGGCTTATGACATGAAAGACTAAAAGCTACGCTTTATAAGATGCCGAGTGGGGGGAAAACCAACCGGAAAACTTGTGAAGTCAAAGGAATTGCTTATGCCTTAGATTCTTGCAATAGGCAGAGATTTGAACTGTGAGATTCTCAGGAGGTTGAACGTACCCCATGCTGCAGAGAAATGCAAAACCCATTCCATGGTCCTTGCCAATCTGACCTCAAACCTGATGATTGCTTTACTGTTTAACAAGCAAGATAAACCAGTCTAAAAATCCTACAAAAAAGAAAAAATATTCCTCATGGAAAAAATATCCCATTTATGGCTGTGGCCAATCTCCAGTGTTTTACAGGATAGTGGGAAAAGTAGAGAAGCTTGGACATTGTAAGTGAGAAACCTCTTTGTAGTTCCTAAAGGCAGCCTAGTGGGAGCTTGAAGACTGGGATTTGTATTGTATAAATAAGGCACAACAAACATGCCTCCATTTAGCCCTCTCCATGAAGCTTAGGAAAGGGAAGATACCTCAGTGTTTGGTGCTGGGACTCCCCCTTTAAATCACTGGGGAGATGCTTCAGTGCTAATTGAAGGTATCCGAAGGGTACTTTCACTATCTCATGTGACTGAGCTTTAAATGAGAAGATGAAGTATGTTGGGATAAATATTTATACTGTGCACTAGCATATGGTGTTGTGCAAGCAGATGCAATTCAGTCTTAGAATTCTTATCTTACACCAACATGTTACTGATTGTAGA